CCTCCAACAGTAAGATATACATAAATCCAGGCCCTCTGGGCATGGAAAAAAAAATTCTACAGGGCATATTTTGCATATCAGCATAATTTGATGGTCTGTGATTTCTCAGGAAAACAGAAATGTGAGAAACATGTTGACAGTTCAGTCTAATTCCAGAATTCTTTTGACTGTGCCGTAGTTGCTACTTGTGAGTACTGCACATAAAACTAACTTCCCTTGACCTAAAGAAAAAAGGAATTTTTTTTTTTTTTTTGCTATGAGGTGAAACCCCTCTGCATCACCAAGCAATATGGACCTAAATTCTACTTTATATGCAGCTCTCCATGACAGGATATTTGCGAGCGTGTGTTCAAGAGACAGATACGGGTTTAATAAAGCCTACATGACTTGAGGATCATTGGAAAAGATCTCTCCTATGATAACAACAGAATACAATGTGTTAAGGAACAAATAATGTTGCAGCCCTCTGTGTGATAGCTACAATAAGACAAGGTCATCCTATGGACTATACCAGCTACTCTGAGCACAACAGCAGCATCTTCGTAACACACGTGATCCTCTGTCCTAACCCAGGATCACATGGCGACTTTCCTGCACAGGGCTTCAGACCAGAATAACTCTGAAAAATTACACAAAGGCAGCTGGACTTCAGAAATAATGAATGAAAAATAAAAGAGTCTTTTCCAATATCATCAGGTAGAAGAAAATGCACATAAGCTATTGAAGATATATAACCATCAGGGAAAAAGGCAACAAAACTGGGTTTTATAAACACCTTTGCAGATGGAACTTGGTTATTATTCTCGTTTTAAATTTCCTGACCATTAAAAAAACATTTTCTGCTTTCAAACTACACGTCAAGCACACAACTGAGCTGACAAGACACCTTGCACAATAACATTTCTTTGTTTTTAATCACTAATTGTCTTTTTTATCTTTGATGGATAAATTTTATATATCCTAAATTTAAGATGCTAATCAGCCATGCCCTGCTCACTTCACAATGCCAAACTGTTCAGCAGCGAACTCTAGGGCAAGACAGTCCAGCTTCTTGACAAAAGGAGATGAGGTTATACTACTGGTACTTATTTAGGGGCCAGATGGCAAAACCACTTTGTAGTGTTCTGGTAAGGTGAAAGAGAACACCAAGGCAGGACAGAACTGACCTGTGAGCAACCCATGGAGAGGTCTAACAGTTTAAGAACAGAGGTAAAAGTCTGGAAAACAGAAGTGTTATGGTTTCTATTCTCAGATCAGTAAATGATATGCCATGTGGAAAAAAATATTGAGGATGATTTTGTTAGTTATTTCTTCCCCCAGATCCCCTACATCCAAATACAGCTGCCTACACATACACAGCTACATGAGCAGGGGCTGAGTTTCCAAGATTTCATCAAAATTTCAAAGAATCCAGAACCTCGCATTTCTGCAAAACTCACTGCATTTGTAAGGAGCCTGGCCATATCCCCGTCTCCATGTTTGCTAATGATGTACCTCACAGGGACCTTGTGAGAATTCATTAGCTGGGACAGGAGTTCACACAAAAAGGTATTCGGCATGGCTCACAGCCCACCTATTTCTACTCCTATAATCATGGGTAACAGAGCTGGACCTTATATTCACTTCTTTACTTGATACAATTGTATGCAGAGCAGAGCACAAGCTAAGAATATGATGCAAGGGACCCTGAAAGACATGCTGCAGATGCATCTTCTCTTACCTCCTGCCATATTCTGCCTCCAAAGAAATTTAGGGACTGCCTTGGAAGCAGTCACTTCAACTCCCTCCTATTTGTGTGTTTATTAAACACACATTTCTCTTTTTCCAGGGGGACAATAGCAATGCTTGACTTTTTACACCAGAGAGTCCCATCTCCAGCCTCCACATGTTACACCCAGTCATTTATGAAAGGCGTCTTTTTTTCCTTCCAGTTGGCAGGCAGTTTAAGTTCTGCACTGATTGGTGACAATTTAAGACAATTTTCCTCTGATTTTTCTCTTTCCACTCTCTGCACTGCCCAGCTCTGCTAGGTTTCATCCACCCCACTTAAGTTTGGGAGCGCTGCCTGACACGTTACCACATGCAGCTCAAAACCAGCCGATACAATAACATTGTTCTGGATCTCCATCAGCTTTTTGCCCGTGTTGCTTGCCCAGACAGATGTGCTTCAGGTGAAATGCTAATGCAATTCTTGCTAAAAAGATAGCCCCCTGCTTTTTTCCAATTTAGCAAAAAGACATAGAAAATATCAATGGTTTTGGTCTTCCTGGAATTTTCTCACACCCTTTCTAGGAATAAGAAAGGACATCTTTTTGCAATCCCGTTATTACACATGTGCATGGTTATAAGAAAATGCTCTGAAGGGACATCAAGCAAATAATACCAATTTTCAAAATTCTATAGCAATGTATTTATACAAATTACAGAATTCTGTATGTATTTACACACCATTACAGAATATCAAGTAAATAACACCAATTGTTCTTTTGTTTTTCCCTCAGACTTTTCTTCAAGTGAATTTTAGTGCTCAGGAAAGGTGCCAGATGGACAGCACTAGAAAATGAAGACTTCTGTTTGTCCACAGCGCAGGATGAGCGGCACTGCAAGCCTCCCCGCTTTGCCATGTCAGCTCTCTCCAGCCCTGTTTTAGCAGGATCACGTAAGGAGCGGGAGGGCATCCATACCCCTTCACGCCTTGGCAAAGGAGCTAATCAGCACCCAGGTGATGATGGTTTTGCCCATCCCCCGCCAGAAAACAAACAGAAATAACTCATTTTACACAAGTGACTGAACAGAATCTGTTGTTCGTTACCTGAAACAGGCTGAATTTGACCCAGTGAACCTGCAGGGAGTGGCAAACCGCCAGCTCCTGGACCATCCAGTCTCACAATAACGCCTATGTTAAATTACATGTTTCTATATTTACATAAAGTCAGTATTTACACACCATTATGGGTTATTTGAGTAAATCGGTTACAGTTTATTTATATGGACTGCCATAAACTCATAACATTTTTCTTGGGTTTAATCCTTTCTTTAGAAAAATACAAAAAAATAAATTAAACATGTTAACTAGTAGTAATGATTTGCCTATGACTAAAAATCCAAGTGGATTTAACATTAAGACTCAAACCGTGGCCTAGTATTGCGGCCTCAACTCATAGTATTTTTAACCTTTGCGATTAATTTCCCGGTGTATGTCAGATTTACTAAAAAAGCAGAGAGTTGTAACCTTCCTTCCTTGCGGTAGGATTGATCTGGTTGACACTGAGCAATGAACCCTAGTCCTCCCCAGGAGCTCACTTTCTCGTCCTACGGGCCAGCACAGCTTTGCACCGCCTGGATTCAGTGATTCAGCACCCGGTTAACCCGCAGCAGCCAAACTGCCTGCAGGTCTCAGCAGCCCCGAAGGGTTAAAAATAAACGCATGGGCTGCAGTCGAAGGCTGTAAATTCCCAGGCAATAACAGTCCCTAGACAAGTATGTCTAACTGTATCCTACAAATCAACTAATATAATTTACATATCTTTATCATTCAAGAACAATTATAATAAAAAGTCACATTTTATTTAAGATTACTGATCTTGCCGGTTGAGACATGGCCCCTCCTACCTGCTTGAGTACAGAAAGGTCACGTTCATTCAGGATACCAAGTCAGAGGTTATTCCAGAACAGAATTACATTTCAAATAATATATATCACATGGACAAGAGTGCCTTAGAGCAAAAACTACTTAATTACAAATAAGCTACAAACTTATGTATAGCTCCTCCAAAGTACGTCTCTGCTCAGCCTCCATGCCTCTACGGACAGCCAGGGGTGTCAGGACCAGCCACGCTCCCGACAGATCCAATGGCAAAGGTTACACTCAATGGCACCGGATTCAAATCCTAAGGGATACAACAACTACAAAATGCGTTTGTCATATGGACCTTATGTGATTTTTCTCTCTTTTTTTTTCCTTCAGGGTACTGGGGAAAAAATGCCTCTTCCTAAGGGTTAATTCCCAAGTGGTAACTGCTAATCAACGTGTTTGTGTGCTTAACATAAAATGCTACAATTCCTTAAATATTACATACTGTCAGCTCACTCACAGTTCATGAATATTTGAACATATTTTAAGAAAAAAAAAAACAAGTCTAATACTGTCCCCCTCATTGTCATTATTGATAGAGATTTATTAGTTTCATTTTGCAAGTTTTACTTTAGGAAGGGTGCTAATATCATGTATTATGACAGTTCACACTGAAAGCAATTTTCCATAAAAGATGTTACAATGACCCCTATGGAACTTGTATAATTTCATAGTAGATAGTCAAGTGCACAAATAAACATGTTTACAAGAGTGATCCTGTTAGCCTGGTTCTTGCCCTCTGAAACCATTATGTGCTATTTGTGGAATCTTAAAATTAGTACAATTGTTGATATCACTTATGTTGTTTCTGGCATTCTGCTTTAGGAAAAAAAAAAAGCATATTTATCATTTAGCTTTGGTATAATCTGCAACAGGTTTTAACAACTAGAATATATTCCAACCCCTATATTTTCCACAGCTGTGAAGTTTACAACGATGTAAGAAGTCACTTTATCAGAGAGGAAATATTACAAACACAGAAAAAAAGTTGAAGACCCAGTTTTCTCTTTAATCCTCTGGGGGTAAGCTATGAAACAAGCAGTCAGAAGAGTGAGGACTCAGTGTCATGAGTGGTGTGCATACTTGTACAATAATACGGGCACAAAAGAGATTGTCGTCTTTAGTACATGAGGGTCACTAGAATTTATTATTATTATTATTACTTTTTTATTGTGATTTTTTTTTATCCATGCACCTTTATATTTACTTGCATGAATTTACCACAGGTTCATAGCGGCCTTTGCCATTTTAATGCTTACAGAGCCTAAAGCTTCCAAAATGCCTATCTGGCCTGTACATATTTCATTAAAAATAAACTCTATATAATAAATAAATATATAAAATAAATAAAATGTTGCCTTTGGAATTTCTATAAATAAATTTAACTTTTTATTTTTATTTTTTTTACTAAGAGGTCTTTGCTTTAAACTCAGTGGGGTGAGACCCAGAGAGCGATTAACTGAAAAGTCTCTTGTTTAAGTAAGACTGCACCCTCCATGCCTTTGTAAAATGCAGCGTACACTTGAGCAGGCCACCAGCCAAAAATCCTGATGAATCAAAGTATGGCAGCTATGCTGATATATGACGAAGTACAACTGATCAAAAATTTAAAAGCGTGTCTATTCCCCAGCATGCATCAGGCCTTCCTCCTCCTCCTCCCCTTGGCTCCTCTCTCTCATGCTCTCACTCCCATTCATCCTCTCCCTTTCTCTCTCTCACACTCACTCTCTCGCGCTCCCTCTCGTACTAAATCAAGCGAGTGGGCATAGGCTCTCCTCCAGGAGGACAAACCTTTAAGTGCAGAACAAAATCAGCATGTTCCATCCAAGCCTCCATCATACATTATGCATGCGACAAAGTTTGGCAACAGTGGAGCTGATGTGATGACACAGCTAATCAATAAGAACCCACCGCATGAAACCTTTATAGTGGTTACTTTTTAAGGGCTCAAGTGAAGGAATTGTCTTTGTCAACTTTGGCTTAAAATATCCTTATATAGTTCCGGTACTTTCTCAGGGTCCACTGGTCTAGGTAAAAAATGTGTAAATTTTTGATGCCGTTTAGTCCTAGTCCCTTCTCTTGGAGTCCCATCTTTATTTAACGCAACGTAGTATCGTCTTCCAGTGTCCACGTGTTTATATAGATTTGATGAATATGTGTTATACCAGTTTTCTTCAAACTGCTCTCTGAATACACACTCCTGGGTTAATTTTTCCTATGGAAAGAAAAGAAAAAGCAGTAAGGAGATAGATAGCCACAAAAATAAGCTATTTTTAAAAGAATTACTATTTTCACAGCTTGAAATCAGTACCTCCTTGCTCAATTCGCAAAATGAACCATTTCAATATTCCTAGTTTTAGCTAAGTAAAGCTGCATTGCTGGCTATTTCATTAAGCAGTCACAAGGGTGGATAACTCTATCTGAAGCAAAAATGATTCTTCAAAAGCCTCATTGCCCAAATCAAAACAGCAACAACAAAACTGAAAACAGATATTTTAATTTCTGATCATTCCCAAGCAGCTCACAAGACATTACTGGACTTCTATAACTAATTGCTTCAATCGTGAGTGCAGGCATTCGAACAAACATATAAATAAAGAAAACTAGAACTGGTTTGCAGGGCTGTAATACAATTTAGGGCCTTAAAATCTCTATGTCCTTTCATTGCATGGAGAACTTGGTACATTCCATTAATTTAAAAAGATACAATTTACTACCCTTCGTTTGGTTTATTATTTGTATCATGAAACCACAACCCAAGACAGCTTCAAACAGAAGCACAAACCACACATGCCAAGATGAAATTAGGCAAGGAAACTCCTCCAGGTTTGCTTTACTAGGGTTGTCCTCGTGTCCTGTCCTGTCCTACCGATGGGACCCACTGAAGACATCAACCATTCATCAGATCCCCCTGCCACAGACTCCCACTCCTTCCAGTTCACCCACTTGTTCAGTCTGTGTGTGCCCCTCTACATCCTTTTGGTCTAAATAGACGGGGTTTGCTTAAAAAGCAGCCACCTGATAAACAGATTCATTTTAGGAAGGACTCACACAAGTGACTGAGTATGAAGACTAGAAAAAAGGTGATGAGCTCTAGCATGGCAGAGCTGATGGAAAGCTGGGAAAAATAAGCCTGGAAATAGTCTTTTCAGCTGGCACAAAAAATATAACAATGATAATTTAATACATTTTTTCATAACAAGAGTTCTCACTTGAATAGCACTCACATCTACCAAATTTATCTTCCAGCTGAGGATCAATTTCTAATTATTACAAAGCTCCACACAACGCAGACTTCTGTGCATGTGTTTTATAGACATTAAGTCTTAAAACAGTCCTTTTAGATAGGTACACACAGAGGGAAAATGGAGACCAAGGCCCAGATGCAGCAAAGCATTTATGGCACCTAATGCGTAAATGTGTGCCTGAACACAACTAAGGAGCCACAGCTCAAGTTCCAGTGCCCCCCGAGAAGCCACCATCCATGGTTTAATCCAGGAGCTTCCCAAAACCCACCATCACCGAAGCTTGCAGCTTGCCCTGGGGCTGCAGGCACCTTTGGGGCCACTTCTGCTGCTCAGGACTCCACTCACAACCCTTTCCCAAAGCAACATGCTTCAGCCCAGATATTTTGCTGCTGTTTTGCATGGCAAGCATGCTGCTCCCAGGGTAGAGCTCTGCAGCCAGCCGGGGTTGGGGACCAGGGTCCCAGCCCAGTCCAAGGAGCCCTATGCACCTTACAGGAGTCACCCAGGAACCATCCCACATGGGGAGAGCAACCCCTGCACACACGGGGAGAGCAAGCCAGCACCCCTCTGCACCCCTATGATCTGGGTACTGGGCTGCAAAGCCAGGGTCCTCCTCAGTGCCTAAAGGTTTGGGATTTGGAGGTTTCTTCTAAATTCAAACTGTGGCAACTCCAATAGGCAAGAAAGGCAGCAAGCAAGCGGCTTCTGACTTTCTCTCTGATGGGCATTGGGAACCTCTTCACCCCTCAGAAAGGAGAAATCCACTACGGGACCGGGTGTGGGACGTTGAACGCTTGAGTATTCACTACAGCAGTGGCCATGTCCCTCTGTGGACCCGGGTGGCTGCAGCTTGCACAGTCACAGGAGCAGCCTGTGGCAGAGGAGAAGATGGCAGTCCCATCCCTGCCACTCTCTCCTGCAGTTCGACCAGGAGACTTCCATCCCTGTGGGTCCAGCTGGGCAGCATGTGTGGGAACATGAGCACGTGCGCAGGCCGGCTCTATATAACAATTTATTTTAGAGGTGTTTCTGACTGTAACATTTTTAATGTGCAAAGTAGCTCAAACACAGCAACACTCCATGTCATAGGGAAAAGAAGCACAAATCTGCTTACATTAAATCCTCATCTATGGGCCAGATCCCGCAACCTCCTATTGGTAATTGCCTCTATGTCCTTTGACAGCTAGAAACTGCAGCAGTAATGAATATTACTGGACCTCAGCATCAGCTGAAAGTTAGACACATTGCAGTAGCCCCCTTGTACAGCCTCAGCCTACAAACTATTATAAAAATTATTCAGTGGCTATAAAGATTATCTTTAAGTAGAGCTTTCATTAGTGTTTTATTCTGCATGAGGTTTAAAATCACTTCTTTTGCTTTGAGGCAGAAGCAGATGCTAAGGGGTATTATATGCTGGGCCTATAGGTCCATGGGGAAAGAGAAACTAATTCAAATTGTTTTCCTGCTCTCAGAAGGCAATAGGATCACATGACAAGCACTGCAGAAGCACTCCCTGCTAAAAATAGAAACATTTTAGGAAGATATTTCAGTCCTGTCTTGAATTCATTAATTATTCACTTCATCTGCATTTTTTTTAGCATCATCATAAATTTCTATCTTTGCAAGAGCAGTACTTCCCCATGCCCTGAAGGAGAAATTTTAAAATAGCCTCTCTTTATCTGGCAGGTTTGATGGATCATGACAGTGCTGTGGTACACTTAACTAGCAGACCTTGAATAAGGGCGTTTGCATTGTACTGCACTCTGGATGAGTTCAATGGATTTCAAGCTTACAAATTTAATCTTTATTTTACAAGCTTATCCTGTTTTTACTTTCCATCCTCTTACAACACAGCTGCATCTCTTTTGTCCTTCATCAAAATTCTCAGAAATTCATGTGTAGACAGTAGGCAAATACTTCAACATGAACTTGACAGAGCAATCGGGATGCAGCTTCAGATTTGTAGGGGCACTAATAACCACACTTTCAGAGAAATGAAATAATTCCTTTATAAATTTATCAAACCATTTCCTTCTAGGTCACCTAGAAATTCTGGTTGTAGTCAGAGACCACTGGACTAAATCGGTGTCGGCAACTTTGGATCAGGCCCTGTGAATAATGTGGGGATCAAAACCCCAGCATATCCTTCTTCCCATGCCCCGGGAATGCCCATTATCCTTACGATAATGGCTCACCTGCTACCACGACAGACAGAAACCAATACCCACTAGGATGGTCATCTATGTACCACCACAACACTACTTAACACTAGTTTACACTCACATTTTGAGCACACATGCCTTTATTTAAGCCATAAATTAGCATAATACAGGGGTGAGGCTGGTCCATCCTGCCAACAAGCACCTTCTTGCCTCACCAGTTTAGGATGGGAAAGTCTTGCTGAAAGCCAGCTCTCCCAGTATGGGAAGAAGATGGTGTTTCCTGATCACAAGTGGCTTGCATTTCCCCTTCTGGCTGTGACTTTTAGAAAGTCCTTGTATGTACAGTTGAAAAGCATGATTTAGCCCTAGAATACAGCAATTTTTCCATACTGTTATTCTAGCAACTGATTTCTCTATCATTTTTCCAGTGCTAGTATTTCCTTGCACCACACTTAATGTCACTAGACATCTTTGTGGAAGGCTGACACAAATACCAAACATACCCAGCTGGAGCAGCTGTGGAAAGTAACCTGCATTCCTGTGAAAAGGGAGGCTGCCTGCCTTGATCAAATCATTTAATTCAGGGGCCAAATAAGGAGGTGACCTCAAAATTATATAAATCAGATGTTGCACCACATACCACATGTTTTCTATGAGGATTGTTCATAGAGTATTCCACTACAAAGTGATTGATTCTCATTTTACTGCATTTCCACACTTTGCCTGTTTTTTTTAACCTGTTATTTAACTCGGAATGTTCAAATTGGACCTCGCAAGGTCCTGCACCCGGGTCGGGGCAACCCCCGGTATCAATACAGGCTGGGGGATGAAGGGATTGAGAGCAGCCCTGCCGAGAAGGACGTGGGGGTACTGGTGGATGAAAAGCTGGACATGAGCCAGCAATGTGCGCTCGCAGCCCAGAAGGCCAGTCGTATCGTGGGCTGCATCAGAAGAAGCGTGGCCAGCAGGTCGAGGGAGGGGATTCTGCCCCTCTCCTCTGCTCTGGTGAGACCCCATCTGGAGTACTGCATCCAGCTCTGGAGCCCTCAGCAGAAGAAAGACACGGACCTGTTGAAGCGGGTCCAGAAGAGGGCCACGAAAATGATCAGGGAGATGGAACCCCTCTCCTGTGAAGAAAGGCTGAGAGAGTTGGGGTTGTTCAGCCTGGAGAAGAGAAGGCTTCAGGGAGACCTTCTTGCAGCCTATCAGTACTTAAAGGGGGCTTATAAGAAAGATGGAGACAGACTTTTTAGCAGGGCATGTTGCAATAGGACAAGGGGGAATGGCTTTAAACTAAAAGAGATTTAGACTAGATATAAGGAAGAAATTTTTTACGCTGAGGGTGGTGAAACGCTAGAACAGGTTACCCAGAGAGGTGGTGGATGCCCCATCCCTGGCAACATTCAAGGTCAGGTTGGACGGGGTTCTGAGCAACCTGATCTAGTTGAAAATTGCAGTGGGGGGGTGGACTAGATGACCTTTAAAGGTCCCTTCCAACCCAAATGATTCTGTGATTCTATTCTATGATTCTAAATAATTGAATTGTGCAAAGATGCACATATCCCAAGGGTGGAAACCTAAGGCAGATTTAATTCAGAAGTCTGCTAACACCGGGTCAGTGTTAGCAAGCCCAGAACCCCTTTCCCTTCCTACATTCTCCACCATCTAACTAGGGAGAAAAATAATTATGTTATCCTATTTCCAGGTAGATCGATTAAAAGTGAGATTGTAAATTAATAGTTACAGCCATCACAACGGAAGATTTGCCAGCTTGTTTAAAATAGATATCCCGGTGAAGCAGCTAA